ACACACAAACACACCCTCCAACAACCACACACACGCCCTAACACCACTCACACACCCCCAGCAAGGGAATTAAGACACATCTGCATGTGAGTGACTGCATGGTAGCTCTTGAGGAGCACTTGGCAACGCTCATTTCCTCTCCATCTGTTTATTTACCCACACCTTTCGGCTTTCTCACTCCATATTTTAAAATGTTATGAAACGTAATGTTGAAGGTATACAATTTTGCTCATTTAGACTTATATCTGTACTTACCACAATCTCTCTAAAAATATTTAAGGTTTCGTGTTTATTCAAGACGTCTTCAGGTCATGAGACCCACTAATCCTCCACCCAAGAGAGGGTAACCTGACATTCCATCAGATCAGTAATATGAGACCGCTAATCCCCCATCCTACCTCCACCTGACATTGCATCAGGTCAGATCAGTTACACAAGACCCACTAATACCCCACAGCTCTATGGGAGTGGAAAATAACAGTCTTTGCTGTAACACACAGCTTCATTCATGCCCATATCCTTTAGATTTTAAATTTTTAAATATTCAATTTATTTAAACAAACTTTTCGATAAACTATTCTGGATTATTATAGTAACGAAATGAAGTTTCTAACTTAATTAGAACTGTATTTACGTATTCCAGTAGTTTAAACTCGAGGAAAACATCTCTAGTACCCAGAAACGTTCTGGGGAAGTGGGCTAGTGTGCGACTGTGCAAGAGGTCTAGTTTAGACACTTAGAAACTTTTCCCAGTAACCGGAAAAGGTTCCGGGGATAAGGAATTTTTCCGGGTTTGAGAGAGTCGTCTCGTTACCCGGAAATCTCTCGTGCCCGTAAGTGCTCTGCTCGAATTGTTCCGGCTAATGGGAATATCACTGTATGTATATATATATATATATATATATATATATATATATATATATATATATATATATATATATATATATATATATATATATATATATATATATATATATATATATACATATATATACATACATATATATATATATATTGTGTATATATATATATATATATATATATATATGCAAGTAAATCACTGTAGGTGTGATCTAGGTATAGCCTTCAGGGTGAGTACAGTCTGTACCACCCCTGAAGATGTGAATTACAAGAAGGCTTGGGAACTTCGTGTTTCTTTCCTTTTTAGAATATATATATATATATATATATATATATATATATATATATATATATATATATATATATATATATATATATGTATATACTCATTTTTAGTCCATATAACACGGACTTTGAACATATAATCAACGACCTCACCAGCAAGGGATCGAACCCTCGACCTACTGGGTGGGACTAGGGAACGCTATTGCCAGGGCCACAAGGACACTAAAAGCAGTTCTAGACTCTATATTTCACACAAAGCCTGTTCATCGAGCTGATGGCGCCGTGAACCTCATTGGAAACTGCCCGTGCCTCTTATGTGGTGTCAGTAGCATTTTACCGAATCCAGCTGGTATGAAACGCGAGGTGCATATATATACTTCATTTTTAGTCCATATAACACGCGGACTTTGAACATATAATCAACGACCTCACCAGCAAGGAACCCTCGACCTACTGGGTGGGACTAGGAACGCTTACCGGCTAGGCCACAAGGACACTAAAAGCAGTTCTAGACTCTGTTATATTTCACACAAAGCCTGTTCATCGAGCTGATGGCGCCGTGAACCTCATTGGGAAACCGTCTCTTATGTGGTGTCAGTAGCATTTTACCGAATCCAGCTGGTATGAAACGCGAGCATATATATGCTTCATTTTAGTCCATATAACACGCGGATTTTGAACATATAATCAACGACCTCACCAGCAATATATATATATATATATATATATATATATATATATATATATATATATATATATATATATATATATATATATATATATATATATATAATATTAGCGGAATCGCTGCCCTCTGCGGCTCTTTTCACTAGCCCACGGTAGGCTCCACATTGTCTCACTGTAGTGCATTAAGGTAGACCACATTTTTGGTTTTGCCATTAGCAGCAAGTATGTACAGATTTTTGCCAATTCCCACTCTGGAGCATCCAACATAGAACTATCCATGAGAGAATCAAGGAAACACCAGGTTTAGGCCAACCATCTTTAGGGACTGTCCCTGGCTTTTATAGATGGTCATGGCAAAGCTCACTTTAACCGGGAACTGAAGTCGCTTGAACTCAAATGGCAGATCAGTGGTGATGAGAGGTATCCTTGGTAAAATACGTCCTCTCCTTCAGCTTTTCCTGTCAGTATTGTAGCTTCCAGTACATGTGGCATCATGCTCTTCACCACCAGTCTTGTGCTATTGCAGAGGATTGGTGGTTCAAGATTTCTTAAGAGCATTATAGGAGTTCCAATCTTGAGAGTGAGGTGGTGAGGAGGCATTCCAGCGGGCTCCAAAGAATTAAGGAATTTTGCAAGGTACTGGACTGCTTGATCCTGGTCGATTACTGTATTAACAGATTTAAATGAGGTCTCACTGCCTGGAAGCTGTCTGAGTAGAGTCATGTTGATTTCAGCCACTGTTTCATTCTTTGGTGCCAAAATTGCGCGTTCACGCAGCCACTTGTGATCCTTGTAGTGGTGGATAATGTTTGGGTAGACCATGTTAGTGAGCTCAGTTGAGGACTTTACAACATTTCCACATCCTTGAGGAATGATTATTTGTCCTTCTGAATCAACAGGGAAAGTTCCATTCCTAATCTGTAGTAGAAGGTTTGCAAACCGTCCAGCATCCTGATCTCCTTGTAGATGTGTTCTCATGTTTGTGGATAGGGTGAGTGTCTGAACACTTCTCCAAAGGTATGATGCCTTGAGGCACGCATTCAGTTCATCAGCTGGAGTGCTTCGAGGAATGACAGGTAGGGTCTGGCCACGGTAGGACGCCACCCTCCGGGAAGCTCCACATTGTCTCACTGTTCAGTCCCCAAAACTTCTACGTCCATCAATAGTTCATTAATGGTGTATGTAAGTTCCACCATGTTTTTCACTACAACGGTACAGCAAAGTATATTTTTTTAGCATTAAACTGTTATTATTTTATTGTCTAATCATCACTACATATAACACCACCCATCATCACTACATATAACATCATCCATCATCACTACATATAACACCATCCATCATCACAGCATATAACACCACCCATCATCACTACATATAACAACATCCATCATCACTACATATAACACCATCCATCATCACTACATAAATAACACCATCCATCATCACTACATATAGCACCACCATCACTACCACCATCATCATCACTACCACCACTACTACCATCATCATCATTACCACCACCATCATTACCACTACTTTCAACCAGTTTCTACCACCACCACTATCACCACAAACATGCCGCTATCACCATCACCACCACTACCACTGTCACTACCACCGTCACCACCACCACTACATATAACAACATCCATCATCACTACATGTAACACCACTCATCATCACTACATATAACACCAACCATCTTCACTACATATAATACCATCCATCATCACTACATATAACACCATGCATCATCACTACATATAACAACATCCATCATCACTACATATAATATCATCCATCATCACTACATATAAACCCAACCATCATCACTACATATAACACCATCCATCATCACTACAGATCGGTAAAGTAGTTTCCGAGATTCTCGTGCGGACACACAAACAAACACACAGACATACTTCTTTGTTTTATATATATATATATATATATATATATATATATATATATATATATATATATATATATATATATATATATATATATATATATATATATATATATATCAATACATATATAAATACATATATAAATAAATATATAAATAAATATATAAATACATATATATATATATATATACATTTATATATACATATATATATACACATACATACATATATGCTACATGGTTTCGCAACCTCTTAACCTGGACTCTCCAATAGCTGGAATTGAAATTTGCTCAGAAATTTTCCGGAAAATTCTCTCAATTTCGGGTTTGAGAACAAATTCCAAGGTTGAAAATAAGAAACGTTTTCTGAAAATGGAACAGATGGGAAACAAAATCATATCTATTTTGTAATTTTTTAGCTTACCATGAAAAAAAAATTAAGTTAAAAATAAAATAAAATAGCCTCATTTATACTGTTTATGATAGGTGCATTGGTTAATATTAAATCCTTAATAGGTAAAGGAATTACTGTACAGTAACCCTCACAATAACACAGACTTCACTTTAACCAAATATCTGGATAAACTAGATTATCCTGTTTATACATTTTTATGGAAAGATTTTTTTTAAATTTTAGAAATATTTAAAATTTCAGCTTACTCAATAAGTTAATACCAATACCAGACAGGGCATTCAGATTATATCCCTAAAAACTGAACAAACACTAAAATATTATAATAAGTATAAATACAAACTTGGTTCAGGTAGGGATGGTGTGAGCAGAACCCTTATCTTATTGACATTTTGTACCTGCACACAAACCAAGCTCTCAAGACTATGTACTGTCAAGCTATTTCTGTTATTCTTTTTTAGCATGGTATAGTACTCCCTATTTCATCACTAGTGCAAGTGGTAGCGGTGTTGGCACAAGACTGCTCATAAGGAGAATAACAGAGAATCTCCAACTCAGATCACACCACGTTACCTATACCACAACCTAAAAAACAGACACACTGAGTTCAACAAGCCATCCCTTCACTACCTCCATCTCAGCCTCAGGGGGTGTAACTGAATGAGTTAGCTCATATTATTTAATGTTTTTGTGTATTACTGTTATGCTATGTTCATGTACATATTTTTCAAATTTAATTCAACAGGGTACAGTACTGTAATTGTTCATATATGTCCACAAGGTTATGCTGTGCTTAAAATGGTTGTAATGTACTATAATCAAGAAATCTTCACTGCCACTTACTGGCATTTTGAAGATGTTTTGAGGAAGAGGTTCTGCTTTCAGGACATGGAGAGCAAGTCGAGTGTCTGATGGATCCTCAAGTTTTGAAAGTTGAGCAACACCTCCTCGTGGGTCATCTTCATCAACTGCATACACCAGACCAGCTTTAATCAATGTGTCCAGCAGCTGAGGATGAAGATAATTTTCAAGTAATATTTATTGGTAATTAAACATTCTCAAGGAGGTGCACTAGTTCACCAGCTGATTAGGAATACAAAGGGTTACTAAAGATGAAAAAAAGTTTAGCCTTTCTACCTTTGATAATTTTTCTTCGATCTAGACACACTGCACACAGACTGTTGGTTTAAACACATTCTTAAAATTTCACGTTACGGGGGTATCCTTCAACATTGTTAGTACCATGTATTTCATATCTTCAGACAGAATTTTTGAAAGAAAACATTTTATGAATTTCAGATTATATCTAAGTTTATTTATATTTGTGAAGCTTCCTATAAATTTTTATACGAAATATTTTTTCTTATATGATATTTTTTTTAAATCATAAAAAGCCTTATACAGCTTGTACAGTACTAAGAAAGAATCCTTTTCAGACTTACAATTCAATTCAATTGTTCCCAGCAAACATTGTGAAAAATTTAAAGCCCCTACCAATGGCTTCTTGTGAGTGACAACAATTAATGCATAGCAGAATACATTTTTCTCAGTCAACATTAATATCGAATGTCCCAGCATACAATGCACATATCCTCCCTATATTTATATTACACTAATTCCAAAAACAAAAAATATTTTTAAAATACTTGTTATGGTACTATAGTACAGTATGTTCCATAAAGTGATTTCATTAAGAAGGTGAGTTTTTAACTGTTTTATGTAACTACAAGAAATAATTGATTAAACCTATGAAATCTACTTTGATAGCAGTAAGGGTATACCATAAAGGTGGAATACCTGTTAAACTGAAAATGGTTCCTATATTTCTGATCATCATAAGCAAAGAACCACTGTACAGTATAAATAACAGAAGTACTGCACTCCACACCATTAGGAGTCTTTCTCTTCTTTTCTTTTTTTTCATACATCCTCTTCACCACTGATCGGTTGGTTAGCCGCTTAGGCGATCGATCACGTCTCTGTTACGCACTGTTGGCAAATGCTGGGCATGCACCGGCTCCTGAATGTACTTGAACGTGCTCCAGTGTTGGTCAAGTCTGGTTTTGAAAGAGCTCACACTCGGTGCCGTCACAACACTTTCTGGCAGATTGTTCCAAGAGTTCACAACTCTTTCTCCGAAAAAGTTTGCCCTCACAGTTTTCTGGACCTGGGGCTTCTTCAGCCTTGAGCTGTGACCCCTTGTGGGGCGAGGGTCCGCCAGCTCCAGGTTAGGACACCCGACTGAGTAGTGCCCCTTGATATGCTTATACATTTCAATTAGGTCGACCCTTGCCCGTCTGGAGTATAAGATAGGCAAGTTCAGGCGCTCGAATCTCTCGGGTTACTGAGGTGCCGAAGTGTAGGCACCAGTCCGGTAACCCTCCTTTGAACATTTTCAATCAGCTGACAGTCCCTAGTATATCTCGGGGACCTATCTCGGGGACCAGACGGGGAGCCAGTACTCCAGATGGGGAAGCATTTCACTCTTGAAGATCGTTATGGGGGATGGTCCATCCCTCATAACGATCTAGTTATCTGAACGACCTTCTTATAAGACCTAATAATTTATTTGCCTAATTTACCTTCTCACATTCAATCTCAAATAGTGCAGTTTATTCATCCCGTTGGGACATATGATACGCCTTCTTACCGTTGGTACGCCCCACGTGCATCCTCTTACACTTCGTGACATTGAATTTCAGCAGCCATCTCTTCGACTATTCTTCTGCAGCTCTTCACAGTCCGCTTGGCTCTTGATTTCCCGAAATAACTTGGCGTTATCCACAAACATTTGTATGGAGGAATGTACAGCGTCAGGCATGTCATTTATGAAACAAACAAACAACAGTGGGCCCAATACACTGCCCTGTGGCACCCTGCTCGTGACAGGTACAGATGATGATTTCGTGCCATTAACCACCACACACTGCTTGCAGTCATGTAGAAAGTCTTCTATCCACGCTAGGATAGAAGCCATTCATGGGGTACTCTGTCAAAAGCCTTGGCAAAATCTAGGTGTATATTTTCGATATTACCACCCCGTTTCAGAATATGGGTCCAAATATCCAATACCATGAGCAATTGTGTTAAGCAGGAGCGCCCCGGCATACAACCGTGTTGGCAATCCTTTACAAGGCTGTTTCGTAGTTGATGTTCCATCGCGGCATCTCTGATAATGCTCTCAAGTACTTTGCATACTATGCTGGTCAGGCTCACCGGTCTATAGTTGTTAGTGGAGTGACGATCGCCCTTCTTGAAGATGTGACTCACATAAGTCATTTTCCAGTCACTGGGGACTTTTTGTTCATCCAAGTATTTACAGAACAGGATCTTCAGGGGCTCTGCAAGCTCGTTGCACAACTCTCTTAGCACTCTAGGATGCACCATGTCAGGGCGGGGACTCTTATGGACCTTTAGCCTGGACAGTTTATTTCTTATAACCTCTTCTGTGAACACAATTTCGGTCAGTGCTGTGTCGAACCGTCTGTCCTCAAACACAGGAAGGTTAATCGCATCCTCTCTTGTGAACACCGAGGAAAAGAAGCTGTTCAATGCCTCAGCTTTATCCTGGTCAAAATCTGCGTAACTACCATCTTCAAGCCTCAGGTCTGATACTCTTATAACGGTTTCTTCTTCGTAACAGTAGTTTAACACAGTAATGGGGAGAACATAATATCTCTACCTTTACCAACTGTGTATCTGTTGAGGTGACTGTTAGTGTGTATAATAGTTATTTGTGAAACTGTCATATATGTAATAACCTTCCTGGGGTGTCACCACTTGCATCAATCACTTTAGAAGCACGTTACCTTATATTATAGACATACTAAAATATAGATCAAAGTTTATTGGGTCTTCTGTAGTGAAATCCAATGCGTTCCTTTTCTGTGTTTATTATAAAAGGTTTCTATATACACTTTTAAAAAGGAGCATCACCGTAAATTAATCACTGTAGCTATGAGTGTTAAATGAGGATGGAGGCAATGTTAAATAGCTCTTCTAAAACAAGTCCTGTTGGGGTGAGGGGTTGAGTAAGAGTGCCTGTAATACCCGTCGAGGGAGAACGGAAATATATCCGACGTCCTCCTTCGAGGGAAGACGGAACCATCCACGATGGATCTCAATAACGTCTTCCTCTAGTCAAGGATATCAAACTACTGCCGCATTAAGTGGTCAGAGAGCCGGTTACTCAATTCCTTAGCTCAGCAAGTGACGCGACTTCCTGTGGGTACACCTTGTCACGTGCTCAGAACATGCTACCTCATAGCTAGTGGAAAGTTACGGAGGGTGATAGAGTATATAAGTCCAATGTAATAAACCCATTTATATAAATACGTCTGCCTATAAGACAGGGACTATTACACTCCTGCGTTTTTAATTTCGACTTTGCCTCGCGGTAAAACGCCTTTGGGTTTGACTTGACCTCGCTTGCAACCAGCCTCTGGAACGCCCTTCTACACTCTACCTTTGTTGGTTTCTGGGTCTTGCATATATTCTCCGGTCCTGCTCATCGTTTGACCTAACCCACGTCTTAAATTTCTGGTTTTTTTTTCTTAATTTTGACGACCGCCGCATGGTTCATGTGTAGGGGTCCCCTCGTATTCCTTGAGGCACTGGGTTTGGACTTGGGTATATATTTATCGATCAAATGGGTCACTTAACTGGTTATGATATTCAGCATAGTGTCTGCGTTCTTGTGCCTCAGTGAGTCAGGCCAGTGGATTCCCCTCATATCTTCCCTCATTCCGTCGTGATTTCCCTTGTAACATTTGTACCTTGGCCTGGCTTTATCGTGAACGCGGTAAAAGTTAAATCAGAATGACAACACTACATGGTGACTGGTGCCAACTGGAGCTAGATGTTCCAGTTTGGTCACCATACCCTCTTCGTTTGTTATGATGAGGTCTAGTGGCTTGGGTGATTGCTCCCCTCTGTAATATGTCGGGTCTTTAACATGTTGGAACAAAAGATTATCTCTCAAAGTTTCTACAAAAAGAGCAGCAGGGTTATTCAAGTCATTTGGGGTGATCTCGTTTCTCCAGTCGATGTTGCCATAGTTATAGTCCCCCAAGATAAGGAGGTGGCTAGGGTTGAACATCGCTGCAGTGTCTATCAAGTCTCCCAAGTTCCTAAGGTTTGGTAAGCTACAATTTGGGGATCTATAGATACACCCGACATTAAGTAAGTCCCCTCCCCCTTTAATTTAATTTTGCACCACTTGGACTCTTCAAAAACCTCCTCTCCCTGTACCCTCGTCTGGCTGGCTCTAAGCTCTTGCCTAGCATAGATAACCACACCCCTCTTGCAAGTTTCTTGAGAAAGGTTCGTAAATGAGTCATATCCAGCAATACTGAACTCGCATTCCTCTGGGTCGATTCTCCTGTTCTTGTACAACAGTTCTACAACTCCTACAATATCAGGTTGGTGTATCTTCAGTAGTGTTTCAAACTCTTCTCTCTTATCAAGGAACGTGTCAGTATTAGTGTACATGACCGTCAAGCCAGAATTTGTTCTCGGTAACGTCTCTGCTCTTAGTAGTAACTCCGGCACCCTTCCATTCTCAGAAGCTGCAGCATTTGTTAAGTACACTGTTTTGAAGGGTGTGGTTAGAAATGTCATTGTTTACACGGCGCTCGCCTCCTCCCGGCTGGTAGGCGGAGGCGTTGGTGCCTCCTCCCAGGTGGGGGTAGAGCTGGTGGAGGGTGCTCTGCTTTCCCCCTGGCTCTACTGTATGTCGGCACACTTGTTTCCACTACCCTCCCCCTGAATATAACCCATGTACACCAGTCCCCATTCCTCCTTGACTCCTCCCTCTTCTGCCTCAAGCCCTGTAGGAGCTTCTTGTGCTGTTCCCTCTGCATTACCGTGCGATCTGGGTGAATGAATACACTCCGAGATGTATCGCTCCTTGCTAAGATTTTTGCCTGCCGAATAACCTCCCATTTCTCCTCCTCACTCACTAGTGTGATCTTGAGGGGGCGAAGTTTATCCCCCTGTTTTTGTCCCAGCCTCCTCACATCCTGAGGGGGAGGGGTTGGCGTAGTCAGAGGCTCTGTACAAATGTTCACAAATTGCATCTTAGCGTGTGTTTTCCTAGTCTCCGCTTCATCCGCCTGGCTCTCAGGGACTCCATAGACTATTACGTTGTTCCTGCGCTGGAGACGTTCCCGTTGCTCTTCGTCTCCCCTAACAATAGCTCTGCTAGCTGTCATATCTTCGACACACTTTTTCAGAGCCCCTTGGTGCTGTAGAACCTGTTCTGATCATGCATCACTCCCTGCTACTTCCCGTGGCCCTGCTAAGGCCTGAGTATAACTCATCTTTGCTACAACCTCCATTATATCAGCTACTTCCTCAGTCTTAACAAGGATCTCTTTCTATAATGATACTTTTTTTTTACCATTTGTATTCAATGTCTTTGTACAGTATTGCGTCTTATTTCTACCATTGCAAAAATCCATGTGATCCAACTTAAGTGATAGTACCAGTTAATTGTGAAACTATGTGCTAACTATGTGTTTAATTATGTACTTATGGCTTTATCAAAAGTAGACATCTGTAATTGGTGCAAACAATACTGTACACTACACCAAGGTGCCAGATTTTTATTTTACCTAAAATTATCTCAATGTTGTAGAGGAGGTAAATACTATAACCATCAACGTAATTTGACAGTGGTAATGATGATAGCCAACTGTGCCAATTCAAGTTGAACAATCCACCAAATCAGTTCAAACTGACTGCATTACACAGCTATCAGACCATGGAGAAAATGCTGCAATCTCACCTCAAACTAAACTTCCAAAGCTGTAGTTATCAAGCCACTTACATTCCTATTGCTAACTAGAGGATCTACAGGATATGAGTGAGTTCGGGTCATATCCGGCTCAATCAGTGAACAGGCTAACCAGTGGCAAAGAGGATTAAGTAAAGTAAATAATGTCTTCAACCCGAATAAAGTCTAAACAAAGGACCCTACTGGATATCATCTGATGAGTTTGTCAGCTATCCTTCATCGAATTACCTTATTTCAGTATTTATTATTGCTATATACCTGCATTGTCTAGATACATTAGAAACTGTGTACTGTATCTGCATGGTCCATGTACACACAATCAAAAAAGTATCTGTTTACATTGGGTCCGATGATTTCCCAAACAATGAATACACCTATGCTGCAATACTGTAATATATGATAATGTCTGGCATGCTTCAGTGGTTCACACATCTTGGAAATGGATGTGAAACATTAAGACACCAGACTCTATTCAGTGACTTACAGGTATCTTGCAGGAGTATGCTGGTATGCTCATCTCCCTCAATGAGTCCAAACAGAAACCTCCATTAACACATGTGGTCCGGGCCACAAGCTGATGAGATCCTTTACAAACTACAGCATAAACTGGAGCAGTCTGGTTCACAAACTCATTAAACTGTGGGGATAAATAAATTAAATAAAGTGTAAATAATTTTTCTAAAAATGTTTATTTACTTTTTTTTTTTTTAGAAGTACTGTAATCTATATCTGTTAGTCCATTCTAGTCGGGAATCGAACCCCGAACCTCTGCGTGTGAACAGGGATCTCTACAAGGTGGTTTCGATCCCTGTTTGTAAATGGAAGTCTGCATGCTATAGGGACTGATGAGATATCAATGTATATGTTTAGCTTAAGGACCAAAAACAACCTTGTTTGGAAAATAACCAGAAAGCAAATTTTTGCTATAGGTTGTTAGGTTCGGTTAGAATAAGTGTGTTTAGGTTTGTTTGGGTTGGGTTAGATTAGGTTTGGTTAGATTAGTTTAGGTTTGATTAGATTCGTTTAGGTTATGTTAGATTAGGTTAAGTTCAATTAGGTTTTTAAGTTAGATTAGGTTTGTTTTGATTAGCTTAGGTTACATTAGGTTTGGGTAAAACCCAAGACACAAAATTCACTTTCTGGTTATTTTGAAAACTTCCATAATGAGCTGTGGTCGTTTTTGTTCTTTGAGCTTAACATATGTACAGTACAGTACAGTACAAATATAGTGTACTGTACTACCAATACTGTATTTTAAGCAAAAAATATTAATGAATAAAAATATCAATCACGGATGCCTAAATTTACTTAATAGGAGAAATTTTAGTAAAAAAAAATCAAATTAAAATTCTAATACTGTACAGGTTTTTCTACCCCAAAAATTACTGGATCTTCTTTATTATTAATAAATCTGTTGCTTTTTTTACTTTATATTTTCTATTATTTCCAATTGTTCAGCAAAGCTTACAAAGAACTGCTGGTAGGTAATTATAAAATGATCCAGTACAGTAAACACTTTACCTGACATTAGTAATGCAGATACGAATACTTTTTTAATTTCACATTACTGTACATACAGGCAACTTTAATGCACTGGCAGAGGGCTGCTCCTCCTGCAGAGCTCCAAAGGTGAAACAATCATCTTCCCAGGTCAATGGTGCAAAGCATTGGTGATCTCCCTTATCCATCACTGCAAATACTTCATTTGCCTTCACCAAAGAGTGCAATACCTAAAAAAGAAGAAGAAAAAATCTAGGTGTCAAACCTGACCTTTTCATATGTACTGTACAAGTATTCCTGTTCATGACACAAATAAAAACTGAAGTCTGAAAAGTTATTTCCCCTCATATTAATAGAATCACTGGTGCAATTCAGAATGTATCCATCGGTGAAAGGTCAACCATTCACTTTAGAGGTTAATAGTACAGTACAGGCATAGGTCCTAGAACAATGTTTCTATCTACTGTACAGTAACACTCATTTTTCTGTAGGAAATTCTTACTAAAATATTATAAAATTAATAAAATCTCTAAAATGGTTCAAAAGTTCCACACAGCACAAATATTTTTGTCTGAAACAAACACTCAACCATTGACAGCGATATATACAACTGTATGTATAATTACAACTCTGCCAATCACACATCACACAAACGAAAAATTTGCTAAATTTAAAATTTAAAAATTCGAAGATATTAACACCTACTGCTGTGCCCTCTTTGTTTACAAATATATCAATCACTTGCTTGACAATAATTATTTCCAGTTCCGGAATAATCAGATAATCACCTGGAGAAGCACAAGTTGATCAATGATTCCCAAAATGGCTTCACAAGTGGGCATTCATGTCTAACTAATCTATTAACATTCTTTTCATCTGTTTTCGAATCGGTGGACGAGGGGCACAATTATGATGTGGTATATCTCGAATTTAGCAAAGCCTTCGACAGAGTCCCCCACGAAAGACTAATAAGAAAAATGGAGGCTCATGGCATTAGAGGAGATATTCTAAAATGGATTAGAGCGTGGTTATAGGACAGGAAACAGCGAGTGAGCATTAACGGCACTAAATCCCATTGGAGCAAAGTCACTAGTGGAGTTCGCCAAGGCTCAGTACTTGGACCATTATTATTTAGTATATACGACATATTTATCGGCGTAGACAGCAACATAAGTAAATTTGCTGAGATCACTAAAATAGGGCGTGTAATTAAATCTGACGAGGACTCCGCAAAACCACAGGAAGATCTAAAAAAAATTTTCGAATGGTCTGAAAATGGCAGATGAAATTCAATGTGGACAAATGTAAAGTACTCAGTATAGGAGATGTAAACAAGGAAACCAGATACCAGATGAACAACAATGTTATTGAGAAATCCGACTGCGAGAAAGATTTAGGAGTAATGATAAGTAGGAATCTTAAGCCAAGTAAACAATGTGCATTTGCTCGAAACAAGGCTAATAAAGTACTTGGGTTCATACAAAGGAGTGTTAGTTACAAGACTAGCGAGGTCATCCTAAAACTATATCTTACGCTTGTGAGACCTCACTTGGATTACACAGTTCAATTCTAGTCACCGTATTACAGAATGGATATAGAAACTTGGAAAGAATTTAGAGGAGAATGACAAGTCTACTCCCGGGCATTAGGAACCTTGAGTACAGAGACAGGTTAAAGCATCTAAATTTGCACTCGCTCGAGAGAAGTAGAGCGAGGGGCGATATGATAGAGGTGTATAAATGGAAGTCAGGGCTGAACAAAGAGGACATTACAAAGGTACTCAAACTATCCAACCAGGAGCGAACTCGTAACAATGGTTTTAAATCAGACACATTTAGATTTAGGCGCGAAATAGGTCAACATTGGTTTGGAAATAGAGTAGTGCACGAGTGGAGCAAGTTACCAAATATCATCGTTAACTAGAATACGCTGGATAGCGTCAAACATAGGTTGGATGGATATATGAGCAATAGGGGTTGGGTGTAAATGGGACTGCCTAGTATGGGCCATTAGGCCTGCTGCAGTTTCCTCCATTTTTATGTTCTTATGTTAACTTAAGGTACCCAGAGCTACTAAGACCACACCCATGCACTTCTCTTAGTCCCAGACCTCCATAAAATATCACGGTGTAAAGGAGTGGAACAATTTACCCCTACCCATCTGAGCAAAGACTATGCTCCCTTCCTTTAAATCATCTCTTAAAAAATATCTATTGTAATACCTACTATATATACCTCCTTTATTGTACCATCACAACCGTTTTATCGGAAATTATCATGTAAATAGATAAGAAATTACCATTGCAATAAATAGATTTGCCAACTAGACATAATCCTGACAGCTCTGTCCTTTCGTTAAACCTTAATACTGTACAACCCATGTTGTACTGCTTCCCGCAGTACAGTCAACCAAGAGACAACGTCCACATCAAAACCTCGATCCTCGCACAGCTACAGGAATTCCAAAGACAAAATCGCCCAGTTGTCTTACACTGGATTCCCAGTCATGTAGGGATTGGGGGAAATGACATGGCAGACGAAGCAGCCAAGGCAGCCACTCGTTCTAGAAGCGTAGACATTCAAGTTCCAGCAAGCGTGCAACAAATCAAGAACCACCTCAGAAAGACTACCAAGCTCCACATCCAAAAGAGCTTCCTTGACGCATTCAACGCTGGTTCCCAATCAGCCAAATGGTACCTGGTGGCTACAATAGGGGAACCACCATTCGCGGACAAGAAAACACCAAGACAAACCCAAGTTAGCCTTCATCGACTACGACTAGGGTACAAGTGCACCTGGCAGACGATCGGAAATGTCGTCAGGGAATGCACCTACTGTCAGGAGCCAGCGGCCAACCCACTGGAACACTATCTCCTTGACTGCGAAGTCACACAAAGTCTCAAACAAAATTCGAAACTTCCAATAAGAACACACAACAGCAGCGGCCACTCTAACCCGAAAGGCCCAAACAAACCACATTCACCACCTTCTCCGGGTCATCAAACGATACCCACCACCCAGATAGCTTAGGAAGAATCATCCCCCAGCAAGTGCAGACCCCAGTTCGGGGGGCGCGCCATTCTGAAACTGACCATGTCCAAGAGTGGGGGTTGGTGGTAAGCGTTCACTGACCGAGGGTCCGCCCACACTTGCAAACCTGCAGTATTCTTTCATATCTGCAGGTAGGACAACCTCCAATCCCAAATTCGGTCTGGCTGCTCCAAGAGCTCCAGCAGGAACTACCAAACGGGCCGCCTACAGGCAAAGGCCCGTGTCAGACTAAGGTTCGACAATCTCTACAACAACAACAACAACAACGACGCCGTGAAGGTCAGACGTCAGCTGAGCAGTGAGGTGAGAACACGCATGTCGCAGTTACTCCCGACCCACGTGCTTCCACTGGCTCACGTCGGCGCCTGGCCAGACTTACTGTCGCCACACATGCCACTCTCACTTTGACGTGGATATCTCGTCTCTGTTGAATTGACTTGCTTGTTTTTCTGTGTTTTATGCTCACATTTCTTAGTGCCTTCACCGATTCTCCCAGTATTAACGAACCCTGTGGGAACTGTCGTTAGCTGGGCCGGTGAGTTTAGCTGATAGGGTAGAGAAGGCTCCTCCTTTTTGGGGAGGTCCTGTTGCGAAACCAGAGCCTCCAACCTACGACCCCCTTGGGGGGGGGGTTGGCTACGGCACTGGTCTAATGGCAACAAGGAACTAGGTAGGTGTAGTGAGCCTTCATTGTCAATTTATTGATATAAAGACGAGCGAGAGAGACGTAACCGATGGAAGGAAAATGCCACAAGAGGCCTCGGAAGGAAAACAACATCTTCGACATAGACAATATGTCCCCAGCAATCCATCCCGTGGCAGAATCACCCACCTTCGCGATTCCGACTGTGATGAAGTACAAGATTCCCGAAGAAACCGAATTCAACCATGCATACGAGGTAGTGGTAGCACTGGAACTAGAACACAAGAACATCAAGTTCAGTGTGAAGCCCAATCTAGTTGGAGACCCGATACTCTCCCCCCAAGACCACAACACAGCCAAGATCCTCAGCGAGGTCACCAACCTCAACGGGAAGACGGTCAAGATAATACCATTAGCCCCAGAGTAGAAAACAACCAGAATGGTCCTACTACGATATCCTCTGGAACTACCTGTAAAAGTCATCATAAAACATCCAAAAGTGACCAAGGCAGAGCGTTGTGTTACGAATCAGGACAAAGCACAGACAAGGCAAGTGCTAGTGGACATCAAGGGGACAGTCCCAGAGGAGGCAGACCTAGGCAGCTAGGGGACTTACAAGTTGTGTCCTTTTTTCCCAGAACCACTACGATGCTACAAATGTCATAAATTTGGACATCACCAATCCAGGTGCCACAAAAAAGTGAGATGTGGCACCTGCAGCCTAAGCCACAAGACAGAAATGTGTATTCAAAAACACAAAGAAGGAACCACCACGACAGCCAAGTGCCCAAATTGTGGAAACAAACATTAAGCTTGGAGCACATCATGCCCAGAGAGGAGAGAGCTGATGAAAGTTGCAATGGCAAAAATTCAACCACAAAACACAACAGAAGCACCTCAGAGCACATTCGTATGGGGTCAACAGCGACAGAAAACACTCAACCCAACACCCACTCCCCAACTGTCAGAGGATTCCTTCCCTGCACTTCCTCCACCAGGCTACAAGACAAAATTGAAGACACCGGGACAAAATCAGTCCATGCAGGAAACCATGACAATTCGGTGGACTCCACAACCGCAGCTCCAGAGCTGTATAGCAGTAAAAGCAGAGAACACTCCAGTAGTGGTGGAGAACATCATATTGCCTGGGACACTGCAACCCCCTCAGGCGACTACCCAACTGAATACACCCCAGCCTGCCAATCCACAAGCGGCATTCACCGAAGAACAAATCAAACAGATGATCACCATTATGATAGTGACTTTCTCTACTATAATAAAGAAACAAAATACCAGCACCGAAAATATAATAAATGAAGTTATGACACAGCTCACAGAAAAGATGCAGGAAGACCAGACCCCCAAAACTCAACAATTACAAGTGGAACTGACGACGCCCTTGAGTCAGATATCAGACAAGAAGAAGAACTTGCCATCCGAGAGATCACTCAAAACCGTAAAAGTTCAAGCCCCTTGCAACAGATCACGAGAAATAGAACAACAAGCACAGACCGTCAGCAAACACACGATCACAGAC